CCTAGAACAGTTTCCGGCGCCTCCTTCCGGAGCTTGGGCGAGGGATACTGCAGTAACTTGTTTGGTCCGCTAGGCGTCATCCTAAATTCGTGGTTGTTAACAGACAATTCCAACCAACTGTGGATTTGGTTAAAACTTTTCTTATGAAGTTTAGAAATCCAGACAAACTTCTTCCTACATATGGCTCGTTGGTCTAGGGGTATGATTCTCGCTTAGGGTGCGAGAGGTCCCGGGTTCAAATCCCGGACGAGCCCTGTTTTACCGTTCGTGGGAAAACTACAGTTAATATGACTACATGGGCAACTTTCTCTTTTTCAATATTTATATCCTTCTTTAGAAAAATATTTTATGTGGTACTACTAAATCATGAGGATAAATACTAGATGCTATCACATCTTTCTGCAAAATCATTCTAAAATTAACTATCACTTCCCTTTTGCAGTTTTGTGTTATTATCCAAGAAACGGTTCATTCTGGATTCAGAGAGGCATAGTTATATTAATAGTTTCATGTAGCCCTTCATTTTCTGGCATTATAAGCATAGGGGCCTCTCTTTGCTTATTGGGATCTCCCTGGGCAATACGTGTGAAGAAATGTCTTGTCACATAAGATCTGGGCTCCCTCATTGAGGGGTCCTGTGCTCAGTGTGGGTGTCATGTGATACATACAGCCCCTTGGGAATGAACTATATCCCAACAGGGATTTTTTTTTTTTTTTTTTTTTTTTGAGAAGTTTTTGCTATAGGGTGCATGCGGTCGCCAGAAAAACAGAGAGACATAGAGAGATAAAAAGCAAGAAATCACCCGCCAGGGGAGATGACTACACCACAATTCCTTCTCCATTCTCCTCTCAGGATCCTGGGCAGGCACGCACGCACATGCACCCGGCGTGAGTTTAAGTCACCGGGCCCCGGACTTGAACCACGGTCGGCTACATTGGAGTCCAGGGATATAGCTGTTACGCTAACTGCTGGTCCTGGGGATTCTTTTTTAAAAAATTATTTTATTTAACTTTATCTATCTATCTATCTATCTATTTATTTATTTATTTTAATTTGACCAGAGAGGGATAGAGAAAGGGAAAGGGAGAAACAAAGCTGCCAGGTCTGGGACTCAAACCACAGTCAGCCATGTGGGAGTCCACCCTTAATCACCACACCACCTGCCAGCCTCCCAACAGGGATTCTCAAGCCTGTCTGCACTTTAGACTCACCTGACAAGCTTTTTAACCATTCACTGTTGGGTTCAACCCCAGACAATTAACTTGGAATCTCTGAGAATGGGGCCTTTGGGCATGGTCATTTTTGAAAACTCCCTAATTAGGGTTGACCTGGGAGCTATAGATGCTACCAGGTTTATGTTCAAGACATCCAGCTCACACACCGGGCACATGTGGGTGTGTGCCCAAAATCCCAAGAGGAGAATAGAGGAGAAGGGATTGTAGCATAGCCATCCCCCCGGGAGATGATTTCTCACTTTTTGTCTCTCTGTCTCTTTCTGTCTCTGGTGAGCACACATGTCCTATAGCAAAAATCTCTCTAAAAAATATAGAGGAATATTTCCCAAATATTACCCAAGGCTTCTCAGCGCTTCTACTACCACTGCTGTGGTCTAAACTGTCACCCTTTATCCCCTCAAATTGCAATACCACTTTACACAGGCCTCCCTCTTTCGTCCTTATGTCCCCAAGGTCAATTTTCAACTGAGCAGCCAGAATGAACCTGTTAAAAACCTAAGACTGGGAACCAGCGGTTAGCGTAATGGCTACGTCGCTGGACTCCCACGTAGTCGACCACGGTTCGCGTCCCTGGACCTGGTGGCTTAAAACTCATGCCGGGCGCGTGTGCGTGTGTGCCCAAGATCCTGAGAGGAGAATGGAGGAGAAGGGATTGTGGCGTGGCCATCCCCCCTGGGGGGTGATTTCTTGCTTTCTGTCTCTATGTCTCTCTCTCTCTGTCTGTCTGGCAAGCGCATGCGCTCTCTAGTGAAAAACCTCTCCAAACAAGCAAACAAAAAAACCCTATAAAACCCTAAGACTGAACTTGTCATTCCTCTGCTAAAAACCTTCTGTATGTCTCCATTTCATTCTTTGTGAAATTAGACCTTGCCATGGCCCTTCTTGGACTCCCTTCACTTCCTGACCTCATCTGCCACTCTCTCCCTCTGTTTGCTCCGCTCCGACTGCATCAGCCTCTACTGCTCCTCAGCAAGGCCCCCCTCGGTGTCTTCTACTTGCTTTTCTCTCTGCCCTGAGACCTCTCTCCCTTGTGTCTGCACCGTTCAGTCCCTCACTTCTGCTCAGAAGTCAGCCACCAAAGATGACTTCTCTGATCACTCCAGCTCTCACCCCCTTGGCTTTCTACCCTCCTTTCTCTGCTTTAATTCTCTTCATTGTACATGCCTCCCCTGACTCTTTTTCCCCCCTCTTTTAAAGAATTATTTATTTTATGTATTCACCCATTAATTTTAATTTGACCATAGATACACACACACACACACACACACACACACACACACAGAAAGTGAGAAAGCAAGCCAACAGGTCCAGGACTTGAACCACAGTTGGCCATGTGGGAATCTCCAGCACCTTAACCACCACACCACCTGGGGGTGCCAACCTCCCCCTGACTCTTAAGTGGTTGTTTCACTCATTCTCCCTTCTCCATCTCTAGAATGGAAGTTCCATGAGAGCAGTCTTCTTTATAATGGAAGCCTCAGAGACTGGAACAGTTCTTAACATCCAACAGATACTCCATAAATATTTGGCTAATGAATTGTGCGAAATGTTTTAAATCAACAAGTTATACTTTACAGACTCTGTGGGAGGCCTACCCTGTGGCGCTGAAGTACTAAGGATCATGGTAGAGTGGGGGTTTGATCTTAGCGCTCTTGTGGCGTGGGAACTGTGCCACCCTCAGGGAAAGGCTACCAGGCCACGTCTGGAAAATATTCTGGGCGCTCTTCTTTTGGCCACAGTGTGGCTCTACAAATGCTTTAAAGAAGCGTTGAGGGAACCAGCAGTTAGCGTAATGGCTATGTCGCTGGACTCCCACGTAGTCGACCGCGGTTCGCGTCCCGGACCCGGTGGCTTAAAACTCACGCCGGGCGCGTGTGCGTGCGTGCCCATGATCCCGAGAGGAGAATGGAGGAGAAGGGATTGCGGCGTGACCATCCCCCCTGGGGGGTGATTTCTCGCTTTCTGTCTCTATGTCTCTCTCTGTCTGTCTGGCGAGCGCACGCGCCCTATAGCGAAAATCTCTCTCAAAAAAAAAAAAAAAAAGAAGCGTTGAAATGTTCTTCCCACTGGACATAAAGGAAGCCATAAAGTAGGCTCCCAGGAGCTGACTGCTGGGGCTCGGGTCTGTTGATTCGTTTGCGCACTTGCCCTGGGGAGGACTACTTAAGCACAGGGTTGCATGGGGCCCTTAGGACTTAGAGCAAACTGTGGGCCAGGTGGTGTTTGGGTCAACACCATGGAGGTAAATATAGCAGGGCCATTCTATACGACTCTGTAAGATAACTAATTTAAGAAGATGGGGAACAAAAGCACACAGAAGGGAGACCAGAGGGGAAGAGGAAAACTGAGGTTGAGGAAGTCCTGTATAACCCGGCAGGACTTTATTGACCTTATTTAGTCCATATTTTGTGATCAGGGATCAGTCACTATGAATGTGGGTCCTAAGAAAACATTGCTGGCATATGGGGAGGCCGGAGGGAGGAGTATATGGAGCAGGGAGTGAGAGCCTACCCCTGGTCCCAAGGCATGTGTGGATATGGCAAATGTGTCTGCTCCATGGCCTATCAAGTCAAACTGGAGTCTTCCCCCTTGTGGACAATGCAGGGAGTGCCATGGGTCTTCCATTTTCAGGTTCTGAAGGACAGGTGGTAGGTTGAGTGGATTTCTAGGTTGGGGCCAGCTGGGGTGCAGCAGTAACAACGTTCTGTGATGCTGGACCCACATGGAAAATCCACATGCTAGGGCTTCCCTGTGCACGCCAGGTGCACACATTTGCACACCCATGGCCGGTCTGGCTAGGACTTGGAGTGGGTACCTTGCCTTACTCTCTCATGAAAGAAATAATTAAACTTTTAAAAATTGTTGGGGGTCTGGTTCTGTGACCTGGTGGTTAAGGCAGCCCAATCCCAGCTGGCCTGCTGAGCGGTGCCAGTCCCAGGCTCAGCAGCTTGAGACACACTTGTGTGCACATGCCCAAAATTCCCAAAGGAAGGACACAGAGAGAAGATGGATGTGCCGTGACCCTCCCCCGTTGGGGATGCTTTCTTATCTCTCTGTGTCTCTCTTTGGTGAGCACACGTGCCTGCTAGCAAAAAATAAATAAATAAACAAACAAATAAATAAATAAATAAAAAATGGGACTAGCAGTTAGCGTAATGGCTATGTCGCTGGACTCCCATGTAGTCGACCGCGGTTCGAGTCTTGGACCTGGTGGCTTAAACTCAAGCCGGGCGGGTGTGCGTGCATGCCCAAGATCCCGAGAGGAGAATGGAGGAGAAGGGATTGCGGCGTGGCCATCCCCCCTGGGGGTGATTTCTCGCTTTCTATCTCTCTGTCTTTCTGGCGAGCGCATGTGCCCTATAGCAAAAACCTCTCCAAAAAAAAAAAAATGAAAGAAAAGAAAAAGAAATTAAGAGTTAGTTTCTGGAGACCCCACTACCTTACCTTTTGCTGATCCTTTGCTCATGAAGAGGAGGTGGAACTTACGGGGAGCAGAGCTGTGCTATTATCTGGGGAAATGGTGTCATGAACTGGGCTGACTAGTAAGGTGAATGGCGTCTCCTGGATCTGGGGGGAAGCAGAGGGCAGAGCTGGCAGCGACTGGCAGAACTCCTGAGATGGTCTTTGACAGCTGAAATGAGGGATTCGGAGGAGCAATAATAGATTCCAGGCCTTGAATAGTGAGTAGAGGTGAATCGACATTCGCTTCCTTTCGCTGGTCTTTCTGCTCTTATATCCACATGGAACTATAGGGTTCTACCGAA